CCAAATATCTAAAAATTAAACTTTACCATTTCTCATTATGATAATCCCATTAAATACAGAAATTAAATCCTTTAAAATAATATAAATATATATCATTAATCATCTACTTCAAAACATTCATATAAATTCATTCTTCTTATTTATAATACTAATCCAAAATTTTAAAAATATAAGCTTCAAAGACAATCCTTAAAAAAAACTTTAATTCAAATAATAAAAAACTCTATTTTAACACCAACACTCATAATATAATATAGTTATCCAACTTCCCCCAATCCAAATATCTAAAGATTAAACTTTACCGTTTCTCATTACAATAATCATAAATCCTTTATAATTATATATCATTAATCATCTACTTCATTCATCTTATTTATATTGCTAATCCAAAATTTTAAAAATATAAACTTCAAAAACAGTCCTTCTAACCCAGCTCTCCATTTTACATCTCCCCCCAGTTTCATTCATTTCACATCACTGATACAAAATCAACCTCATAATCAGTACATTTTCCACCTTTCTCCAGCAGAGGGTGGTGTAGAGTCCACAGAATGGGTTAATTCAGTCTTCCTGCTTAGCAGACTAAGGCAAAAAAAGCTTGTCACGCCTCTCTCTGGGTGTGTCTTCCCAGTTTTTGTCTTAGTCTTGAGCTTAGCAGACCTTTTTTTGCAAGGCTCCCTGGCTAGGCCAGATTAGATTACATTTTTCTGATTGCATTGGATTTATTTCAAAAACTTTAAATTAAACTTAAAATTTGACTAATTGGCTACTATCAAGATTTTACCCTTTTTCTGGGACTTCCGGTGGCAGGCGACTTCGCTGGACGCAGCTGTTTGCTGCTCCCGCCTGTTTCTGCGTAAAAGCCATTTTGACAGCCTGCATCAGCTGTCAAACGGCTTGATACCTTTCCCCTGGGCATAGGGGGATAGGTGAGCTGCCCGAGGTAGGAGTTGAGTTCCCGAGTCGTCCCTTGTGGACGATGTAGGTGAGAACTCCTCCGGAGCCCCGGGCTTCTCCGCAATCCAGGACGCCTTCGCCGTAGCGAAGCTAGAAGCCGCCGCCACCGCTGCAACTTAAAGTTAACTGTGAGTTTGCCTTGTAAGCAGACGAACCGACCCTGGAAGTTTGCTTTTTACTTTTGGACTATACTCTAACTTGGATAATACGTTCTCTCCCCGTACGTGTGTTGGAATGAGGAAAAGTGAATTTAAAATGGCGA